TTTTATAATTTTCTATCTTATTGTTTATTTACTTTTCATAATTATTTTCTTATTGTTTTTTAATATTTTTATTATTTTTTACTTTTTAATCACTTTTTGAAATTTTTTAAATAATAATTCTTATTTTTTATCAATTTTTTTTCACTTAACTTTATTGCTATCACACAGGAGAAAACAATCCCCCTGTGTGATAGCAATTGGAGGTGACAGGTTCTCTTTATTGACCCCCGTCACCTCCAATACAGGAGTCCTAGCACAGCACAGCTCTCCCCTCTCAGACCCCGTTCACATGTAGCAACATACCTTTGCAGCGGCCGGGATAGTGCGACTTTCGGGGCGACGATCCAGAGACGGTAGCGCGACCTTCTCCGTCGGGCTCCATAGAAAAAAAAGCAGAATTGCGCAAAATCCGCCGAAAAAAGGGTCCGGTAGAAGCGACTTGCGACGCGCGACATGGAGTTAAGACAGCTCCATTGAATAGCATTGGCCGGCGACTTCTTGCGATATCGCGCGGCAAAAATGCGCGATATCGCGGCGGAAATCGCGCGACCAAGTCGCTATATGTGAACGGGGCCTCACTGTGTACACGGAGCGGCAGGGTCGGTGGCCTTGTGGGGAATCCGGGCCTGTTCCTAGCTCCAGTATGGACCCGGGGCCGGAGGAACAGCTTGTAGGAACCTGCCACTGAGGCTGAGAGACTCGTACATCTTAATGGAGTACACATGTGGTGACGTCACTGCACTCGTAGTCCATTGAGAACTTCCTCTGGCTCCATAACCTTGGGTTCCTACGTCAGTATGGACCCGGGGCCGGAGGAACAGTCTGTAGGAGCCTGCCACTGAGGCTGAGAGACTCGTACATCTCTAAGGAGTACAAATGTGATGACATCACTGCACTTGTAGTCCACTGATGCCTCCCTCCAGCCCCATTTCCATAGATTCGTACCTCCGTCTGGAGCCGGAGGAACAGCTTTTAGAAGGCTGCCACTGAGGCTGAGAGACTCCTAGATCTCAATGGAGTACAGATGTGATGTCATGCGCCCCGCCTCCAGGATGTTTTTTAAATTTTTTTTTTTTTATT